GAAAATATTAGCCCAAGAGACAGAAAGGGCCACATAAACCAGAGACTTCATCAGCCTGAGACCAGAAGAACTAGATGGTGCCCAGCTACCACCAATGGCCACCCTGAGAGGGAACACAACAGAGTCCCGGATGGAGCAGGAGGAAAGTGGGGTGCAGAACTCAAATTCTAGTAAGAAGACCAGACTTAATGGTCTGACAGACCGGAGGAACCCCAGAGAGCATGGCCCCTGGATTCTCTATCAGCTCAGAACTAAAACAATTTCTGAAGCCAACTCTTCAGACAGGGATTGGACTGGACTGTGGGACACAAAGCAATACTTGTGAGGAGAGTGCCTCTTAGCTCCAGTAGATACCAGAGACTAAATGGGCAGCTTCTGTCCAGAGGTGAGATGGGAAGGCAGAGAGGGTCAGGAGCTGGTTGAATGCACATGGGGAATCAGGGGTGGAAAGGAGGAGTGTGCTGTCACAGTATGGGGAGAGCAATTAAGGTCACATAACAATGTATGTATAAATTTTTGTATGGGAAAAAATTAAAAAAATCAAAATAAAATATAAACAATAAACTTACAGATATTGTTAAACTAGAATAAAAAAAGCTCCTATGCAGCTCTTAATAATAAAGTGTCTTGAAACTTTTTATTATGGGATCACTGGGTATCGCTACGTGTTTTATTTTCTCACTAATTCCTAACAAAAGACAAAACATACACATGCTAGAACTGCAAACATTATTCATCTAGAGCATCATTTCCTAAAATAATTATGATGTTTTGCAGAATATAGAGTTAATTGAAGAGTTGCCTCCTTCTCATAAAAACTGGATTGTGTACATCCTAATATGAAATCAACCGAATCTCATGAAAAGTAATTTTGCAACCCTAGCTGAAATTCCCTAATTAGATTATGGTGTTAATAAGTCAGGAAGAGATCCTTGGCAACACAGATGTTTTATCATCCATGTGCAAAACTGTCCTAGATCTTTCTGTCAATGAAGTTACTTTGCAGAGATGGGACGCAGAAGCCTCTATTATAGCTGCTTCTCCTTTTTGGAAGCAATTAATCTTTACTCAAAAATAATTACTATGTGATAGCCCCTTTTTGTTTTTTTGGTTTTCTTACAAAGAGACCACCCATGAGGTAGACTATAACAGCAGTCTACTAACTTAAGGTAGTCTAAAGGACATCATTCTCTATTTATTTTTTTAAATTATTCTCATAGAAGCTAATTCCACTCCTTTCATAGAAAGAAGAGCCAGATAGATGGTCTAAGTAAGAGAAATTCCTCAACCACTGCCTAAACAAATAACGAACAATTACAATTTTACTGATTCTAGAGTCACATTTCCTCCAATGTGTTTATGGACTCAGATAGGTTAAGTATATCTGGTAACATCATCACCAAAAAAAAAAAAAATCAAACCCATTGCTGTTGAGTCGATTCTGACTCATAGTGACCCTATAGGACAGATAAGAACTGCCCCATAAGGTTTCCAAGGAGCGGCTGGTGGAATCAAACTGCTGACCTTTTGGATAGCAGCCAAGCTCTTAGCCACTACGCCACCAGGGCTCCAGCAACACCATATACTTGCCAAGTTACAGTACTCTTATACTGGTCCATTAAGGGATAAAAGCAGATGGCTCCACTTCCTCCCTGTAGCCTTCCTTAACCAACTAGGCAGTATAGGCCACTTCTTCCTCTGTGTTGCCACTCATGGTTCTCTTGTATACCCCTACTACAGTACTTATAATATTGTAGGTACTTTTCTCTCTCTGCGTGTGTGTATTTCTTCCTATTTGTGAATGTAAACTCCTCAAGGGGTCTTATTCATCCATTACGTATTATTCATAGTCTGGCAAAATAATGTGTTCATTAAATGTTTGATGAACGAATGAATGAATGAACCAATAAATGAACAAGTCTTTATTTGCAGACCAAGATGTGCTATCTATTCATGGTCACAAGATGGCATTACGACTCTCTACATTCCATGCCGCACCAGAGCTACCAGATGCAAAAGCAGAAACACTTCCAGGACCTAGGATTCCCTCAGGATTTGGAAAGTGTCAATTAATCTGGTAGAGTTAGCAAAGTTTCCTCTATTCCTACCAAATGTTTCTGATAATGTTTTTGAAGTGGAAAATAAAAAATTCTTTATCCAAAGGCCATGAGATTGAAGGGATAAGCTGTAATTTATCTCTCTGTTTTGCATGCAGATCAATACGATTCTAACCTCAAGGATGCAAAGGTGAGATTAACTATTTTCTTCAGGAAGTAGTGTAGTCGATTGACTTTTCCGAGAATAGAAGAAAGCTGGAGTCTTACATGGTTATTTCTAACAGTAATTTTATTACACTGCCCAGTTTCCATGACATAAACTGAGCACATCATTGTGGCCTTAGGTTCAGGAAGTCTCAGGAACTCCTTGTTTGAGTACCACTGCTCTAATCTCTGGCCCAGGAAGGTATGTGGCATGAGGACTGTTACCACTTGTCCTATTTCAGTTGTTAGAAACAAGCAAGACAATTCCAGGGACTGAAACACAGAACATGCTTCCTCCATTCAGTGGGAACAGCAGAAAAAGAAGAATTTTGTGGCAGAGATAGAAAGTATCAGGAAGACATAACAGCTCTAGAAGAATGAGTGCAGAACTGCCGGTATTGTTTCTAAACAATATTTCTAGAAAGTGTTAGATGTGTAGTTCATTAAAGAAAATTGAGCTTAAAGGAGGGTTGCCTCTTAAGAGGTCAGAACATTTTCATAGAAAAATTAAGACAACACTGACATTACATATGATCTAAAAAAAAACTGTTAGCTCTTGAACCACTGACTCCCATACATTTTTTTAAAATCATATATCAATATATTTTAAACTAATTTGTACAAATCTTTTTTTATTAACAAATTTTAATTATTGAGTACTATGTGCCAAGATACATGGCATATAACAACATAAATAAATTGCACTCCCTGACTTCAAGTATGCTAATATATTCTAAGTATCTTGGTCAGAGAAAAACTTGACCATAAATACCAAAAGAGCCTATTTATAGGTCTAGCACCACTCTTAGACTTGTGTATGTGATGCTTTACCACACAAACTGCATTCCTATAGTCTCCTGCCAAACTATTTCTCTCTTACAAGTACTCAAAAGGTACTACTGTCATTACCCTGGAAACACACAAAAGATTGGTATGATCAGTATGTTGCCAAAGACATGTGTTGTTGTTACAATTACTTAGTCTGAAGAGGGCTAGTCATAAAAACTTAATAGAAAACCTCTATGTAGAACTTAAATCATTTGATCTTTAAATATTTTAAATGATCCGCCTTTCATGAAATAAGAAAGTTAAACAAATGATTATAAAAAGGTTTTTTTTTTTTTTTAAATAACATTAGCTGTGATATAAACAAAAACATTAAGGTCAAGATGATTTCCTTCTATGTGTGCGTGTGTTTGCGTGTGCGTGCACACACGTGCATGGGTGTGGGTTTAAGCTGGTTTTGGGAGAAAACCCATCAGATTTCTTAAGAATTAGCTATGCCTACAGAGGATGGTTATGTAATAACATTCTACCCCAGAATCCAGAAGAAGATCCAAGGCTGCTGTTTGGGAGTCTCATCATGACCTAACCTCACTGTAAGGAACAGGAAAGTCCTGGAGGCCTGGCTGAATTCCAATAGAGTACAATCGCTGGGAGTTGTTTGTAACTCCAGGAAGTTTTTCAGAATTACTCCCAAAACTTTTCAACATTGCTTTTCAACGTGGCTTAAAGCTGAGACTCTGACTTAAACCAGAAATTCGAGGTATCCTTGCATTCCAGGCAACCCCTTTGTTGCTATCTGGTACGTCATTAAGGGAAGAGGGGGAAGGGAAGCGTGCCTGAGGTAAAGGCAAAGCAAAGTGTGCCCTGACAGAGATAATTTGATATTTGGCAGACGCTCCAGACAAATTCTGACAGCTGGGATACTGGGTCATCTAACTGATATCATAACTTCTGTACAATTTTCCTAACCACAAACTAAGACTGTATTTGCTTCTATTTATGCATTTTAATATCTGAATGACTGCAGAAAAAAACTCAAAATCTAAAGCATTATACCCTTGCCAAGTGTACAGTTTTGCTACATTTGAAAAGAACTACTCCACCCATCAGAGAAGCACCTTTTAATACTCACAGCTGATCTCAAAGTCAAGTTTCTGTGATTTCCTTCATATATACACGAAGGTTGCCTAATCTACAACTAAATGGTTTTTTTTTTTGCTTTTGTTTTTCTAATCATGAAACCCAGATTTAAAGGCATCTGGCAAAAGCCAGCTTACCAGCAGTAGTCCAGCAGGTGTGGAGGAAGCACTGGGATGTATATGTGCTGCCAGTACATTGGGTAGAGCAGAGCAGCTGATCCATGGAGACAGGCAGTTAACTAAAATTTGTAAAAAGATAACAGTAATAAGTAGCTGCTGACCCTCCAAACAAAAAGGCATGCTCAAAGTATCAAAGATTACTGATAATTGTAGAACAATTTACTTAATGACATAAATCACATTATCTTTATCAATTCTGCATGTAAAAAGTCTTTTGTTTCAAGGCCCCTTGGAAAAATATATAAATAGCAAAAGGAGCTTCTTGGGAATCTTATATACAGTTATAGGTATCTGAAAATACAGCGTTTGGGGTCAAAACTTCAAACATAAATAAAAGCAAAACTGAAAAATTAGGTGAGTGTCTTAGAAGAAATTGCAGAAAATTATAATTTGTGCAGCACAGTTTGTGCATCACTCAGATTAATATACCACAATTAAATATAGAAAGGAAGAGTGGCTGAAAGCTCCTGAGGGATATCATTAGGGCAAATTGCCAAAGAATGAAACATGAGCCAGTCAGGAGAGTCTGGAAGCTGCAATAATACCAGGGGACTTGGATGTTCGACAGTTGGAGCTTCAGTAATGTGTGAACTGCGGGTTATGGTATCAAGAGACTCTGTTCACCGACACATAGAATGTCACTATTGACCAGCGAACTGCCCAAGCTTGACAGTTGTACTACAGGAAGCCAAGTATATCATAATTTCATATTTAAACTGTTCATTCCAGATTAACATTTTGTTTCCTAGCTTTATATCACAACAGCTGCAATTACATTGTTGCCATTTTAAGGGTAATTGCCATTTTAATTGTTTTGTTGTGGCAAACCGTTAATTAAGCATTTCTGAATGCTTAACAAAAGGACATCTCTCCTTTTTTCTTCCTCCTATTGACCCTCATCAGAATTTTCTATACGATTTTTTTTCCATTTTAAATTATATTTTTATAATTTACTGATTAAAGCAATAATTAAATCAGCATTTTTTCATCATTTTAAAGTTTTGCTATATAATCTGTATTTCAAGGTTACCAATTAAATCATTTTATTTGACTTGAAAGTTGGGATTTTAAAAATCTATCAGAAAAATGAGTTACAGACTTTCTATAAACCATTGTTTCTATTTTATTATTATACAAAGAAATTCAAACATACACATGGTAATCACATTTAAAAGAATAAATGTATACCAATCAATCCAAATCTTATTAACAGCAGTATTTGTCTGTTCAAATGTAAAATACTTCTATTAAATTAAAAAAATGATCAAAATAATCTGACACGAATCAACAACATAAAATGTCTCATTAGAAGTATACTCATCTTTGTCATGATATTTATATGTGTGTGTGATGTATGTGTACGTAAGTGTATGTGTGTGCACATATTTTTTCCAGTTCAATTTTTAATCAATTTTATATGGCAAATAATGCATTTTTATTTCATTTAGGATGCCATCCTTAAAGAGTGTTGGTACTCTGCACTTACAAGCTTTAATAGTTTACCTACAGTATCATTTCAATAAATATTACTATTTTTTATTTTTTATGAAAATATATACAGCAAAAGATACACCATTTCAACAAATTTTACATGTACAATCCAGTGACATTGTTATTTTTTAAATTCCTTAATTAGAGCATATAACATGCCACTAGGAGGCATTCAAATACTTTTATTTAACAATTACAGAGCATGAATTTATTTATGTTACATACTTGAGGGAAATGAAAATGGGCCTGATCTAATTCATTGTGTCAAATTCTCCAAGAGCTTATAGGTACTCTGTAAAGGTGCGTGGTCCTAAATTGGACATCTTTAAAGTGCATTAACTCTTTCCATTCCTTTACTGCAATCTGATGGGCTAAAAGAGCTCATGTAGCTTTGAAATGCAGCTAATTTACCCAAATTTTCCAAAATGGATGAGATGCCACACAAAGATGACTTTCAAAACAGCTAATTTTTTTTTAAAAAAAGGAAAGTGTTCCCTTTTTACTGTTAAGAAAATAATAACAGTATAAATAAATGTATTCTAAAAATGTGTTCTAAAATAAAATGTATTATAAATGTGAGGAATTATAAAGGCAACTTATTTTACTGGGCATAACCCACGTCTTCAGCACTCTATTAAATGCTATACAGATACATTCCCTATTCCCTAGTGGTCATCCTTAAATGAAGTTATGAATTATCTGTTAATAAGTCATGATATTATCCGGTGAATTTGACTGACTTCTTACAAGATGGCTTCTGTGATCATAGGCGAGTCGCAAACTTTCTGTAATGGTCACCATTTGGCAGAGAGTTGCCTCTGCTAATCAAGATCTACCAGGAGAGAAGGAAGCTCTACTAGACTTGGCAACTTCTTGGGGATAAGTGATAGGGAGAGGTAAAATTACACTATGACCTCTCCCTGAACCCCCGTTTCTGGCTAGGCAACTAGAATTAATTATTAAAAGTAATATAGCAGGAGAATCAGATTTGGATGAAAACTATGAGGAATTTGCTTTTGCAAATATTGCTTCTGTGGTAACTGTGAGACATCCAAGTGGAGATGTCCAAGAGAGGCAGAAGCATTATCAAAGAAGATCCCCTTATCCACCAGCAGCATACAATAACTGTGACTTTTTAAAAAATAGATATGATACTAATAATACAGCATGTACCTTTGTAGAGAAAACAGTAAAGTTGCGAGTGAAGAAAAATAAAATTACTAGGAAATTAAATACAGTTACAGATAAGTTGTATAAAATAACAATGAAGTATATTATACACACAAGGTTAGGACTCCATCATTAACAACCTATGTGATCTCTGGCACATGTGTTAAAATAACCAGTTTTGTTTCCTAACCCTTAAAATAAGAAGTCTGTACTAAACAATCTGTAAATATTGTCTCTGATAGATCTAATCATCTTTATTCTTAGATCAGATCAGTTCTAATATTTCATATTCTTATTAATCATTTGGGATTTTTTTCCATCCAGGTAGTTAACAGAACATTTTAAATGGACTATAATTCATATTATTTTCAAAGTATATCTAAAGATCATCTCTAAATGCCTTATAATCATTTATTTGCTTAATTCAACTAAAAATTTTGAGTGCCTGCTACATGCTATTACAAATCCTGCTACATGCTATCACAAACTAGTCACTAAGGACACATCACTGAACAGACCAGTCCCTGATTTTGTGGAGCTTACATGTTTGTGGGGGAGGCAAACAATAACAAGTAAAACATATGTTATATCTGTTAGAGATAAGGCTATGAGGAGACCTAAAAGCAGGGTACAGGGGAGGAGAGTAATGGAAGGGCTATTTTAGATAGGAGGGTTAGAGAAAAACACTGATGTGGTGCCATTTGAACTGAGACCCAACCGAAGAGAGGGCACGTACTACTGTGGATTTTGGGAGAAGAGCATTTCAGGCTGAGGAAACAGTGCATTCAAAAGTCCTGAGGTGGACTCTTCCAGGAGTGGGGAGGCTGTTATCAGACTGAAGTAAGGGGAAGAAGGACAGGACATGAAGTCAGAGAGGCAAGTAGAGTCAGGGCTGGACGGTGTTCCAGACTATGGCAAAGACTCCAAATTTTATTCTAGATGAGGTTTCTCCATACCTCTGAAGAGACTGCTGGAAAATACATTACTTACCTGGAACTTTTTGAGAACTATGCAAATTAAGGGAAAATACTTATTTTAGAAGTTTGGTTGTAGTGTAAAGTATCATAAAAAATGAGATCAATTTTATAAGTCAAATAAGAAAAGAATCTTATTACTTTAAAGTTATTTATGATCTACTGAATCTCTAAGACTAAAAGGAAATGACGTATCAAATAGCCTTTTGGAGCCAGAATTACCCAAGATTGTATGTCTGGTTGGTGACAGGACTAGGACTCCAAATTGTTTGTCTAATATTCAGTTGTTTCTTCTGTGAAACAGCTATTTTCATGAAAGCAAAGAAGAGGGTGGGGGAAGAAGTTTCAGTGCTTGAGTTAAAATTTATCTTTGGCATTATACTCTGGAAACTGAAGGAATAATACATTGTTATAAGCATCTGATTAAGAAAAAGCTGGATGGGAAATAATGTTAAGAGAAAATAAAATCACCCAAATAAAGATTTAAGAAAAAAATGCCTTGTCATCTTTGTCATATGGCATATAAATGTTTAAAATTAACATATAATTTCATAATGCATACTCAGTATATTGAATTCATAAGCCTAAAAGTGCTAACCAATGCAAAGTAAAATCATTAGGAATATTTACTTCCCATTGACTCTAATTATAAAATAAGTATATATGAAAACCATGTGAGGAGACAAGAACTGGGGCCAGTGAAGTCAGAGGAAGAACCTTGACATTAAAGTGAACTTGGTCATAGAAGTAACTTCTAGTACCAGGCCACCAGGTCTAATGTAGAAAATGCCATTGACAGAATTGATACTAATATTAATAGCAAACATTTATATACTGCTTACTATGTTCCAGGTACTTCTCTGAGTGCTTGAAGGACTCATATTTAATTCTCACAACAACTTTATGAAGTAGGGAGTATTATCATTATTCCCATTTTACAGATCAGAACACTAAGGTAAAGTTAAACTAATTGCCCAAGATCACACAGCTAGTAAGTGGCAAGGCAAGGATACGAACCCAGGCACGCTAGATCTAGAATACCTTAAACACTATTTTAAACTGTCTTTTGATAGGCAATGATTCATATTTCCCATCATTAAGAGGCTTTAAATAATATCTTCTGACTGAAAACATTTTACACTAATTATAGAATGACTAATGCATCTTTGGACTAAACAATCAAATAGACAAGAACAGCCGACCTTTGTAGGAAATATTTAGGAGGCTATGATAGACAGAAAACTGATTTACCAAACTTCCTCAGGCATCACAGTCTGCAGCTCAAAAGGAAACCAACAGAACAGAATTCCTTAGAAAGTGTTCAAAGGGTAAGATAATTGATAAAAATTCTACAAGTTATCGTCTTAACCTGTATCTGCAAGTACACTTAAGTTGGAAGTCAAACCACAGTTCTCTCCTTTTAT